GGGACGTACGTTTTTAAGGTGAGTGTTTATTGTATGCGAAGAAATGTCCTCGTCATGTCGCGCTTTAGGTGTAGTGATGGAAATAGAGCTGGTCATTAAATGACAAAAAATATATCGATTTCAGCGTTATTGTTTACACATTAAATGATAACTTTTTAAAAAAATGACAGTGTATTAATATCACTTAGTTTAGATTATGTTTACTTACTTGGTATGATAATGGGGCTAGTATGGTCAGTGATAAAAACAAGCAAAACCTTTACGACATCAAAATGGCTTTAAAGACAACTGCGTATAATCGTGAAGGTTTCGATTTGTTTTCAACCCTGTAGTTTAGTTAATAAAGCATCAAGGTAATAGTACCAGGTTTGACTCACACCATGAACAGAAACACAAATACAAACTTATCCAGTTGACATATTCTAGATAGAAAACAGAGTTATTCTCGGACTCCACTGTTCTCTGCATATCAGTTGTTCTAATGAAATACAGTTTAGAATGTGCGTATTTTTCGTATTCATCATTTAATTACAACTGTCTAAATATATGGAAATTAATTTTTTTAGAATATAGAGAATAAGTGCGCTATGCCGAAAATTTGTACTTATCTGAACATAATAACGAATCTATTTTCCGTTAATTATTTTGAATAGCTGAAAGTTAAATAATCATTCTGCCATTTACCACAAATCTGACGATGTGCTCACATAAGCAACGTTTATATTATTTAGAAAATAATTAAGAAACAGTTAACATTTTTCAAATGTTCTTATTATTGGACTACAATAATTTAACATTAAGACATCAAATACGAATCTAGTTGTCTTCGTATGCGATAATATTGCAGACGTAAATGACTATATTATCACAGAACTGACATAAAACTACAGATGAATTTTTAATTGTCAGGAAAAGATTAATTTTTATCTGTTACTGCCTGTTTCAACAAATATTAGATACAAGAGATTTGCGGAGATTGCAGAATTTTCAGTCTAAATGGCAAACTGATTTTAGGTAGACCATCATTACAAATCTGAAACAATTAGGTGGCCATTTCTCTCTGGTATGGGATACCTTAGCAGTGCCCATCCACAACCCACATTCAGGATATTAATTGTGAAAACGTTAAGTGTCTATTAGTGTTGATTATTGAAAATGGACATCTGCTTAAGGACTACACGAAGGTAAGAATTAGCGTAATGTCGTCACATACTACCTTTGTAATCTTTCATTTTTTAAAATAAACGTTAAACTTGTGATATGAAGTTCCAACTACCGTCTGTATTTCTAATAAAAGACCGCCATATTATTTATGCTACTGTGTAATCGTACCTGAACGTAAGAACCAAATTTTAAGCCCAGATAAAATGTATCATAAAACCTAGATGTCATAGTATCCCACTCCAAGTTGATCGTTTTTATGAATGAGTCAATTGCATTTTTCTGAACTGATTAACAAGTGAACTTAAGAAACGCATTTCGTGATAGAGTGTTTTGATAATAGCCTTTCTAATCTCCAAATGTAAATTTTGTCTATCGGATGCTTTTTTATGAGATGAATTAATAATTCTTAAGACTTATTCTAAATTATCAATAGCTACATAAAAAATTAATTTTTTTGCTAATTTAAAATTAAGATAGTTATTTTCATAATAATTAAACTAAACCGCCTAAAATTCATGTGATTTATCACATGAAAATAATATTGAAGATAAATTGTAACAGAACTATTGGAAAATAACTTGAAATGTAACGGTTATCAACAGTTCAACGTCATGAAACTGGTATGCAACGCAAACGGTAAACATCAGTATCATATAAAAAAAGATAGACTGTATGAATGATACAAATTCTAATGATATCATATAATTATGCACTAACTGGAAAATGATACAAACTATAAAACTACCATTTTCATATGTGTCTAATTACTTGATAGACTGACTACTGTTTGTTTAATTAAAAACTCCTAGAAATAAGATCATGATTCTAAAATATCAGTGACGATTCAATTTTCGGAATACATAAAAGTTACTTTTTTTAATTTGTCTTTTGTAGTGGCTGATGAAATTTAGATTTCAGGTAAAGCATATTTCATCAATGGAGCTTGTAACGTAAGTGACTCGCAAAAACATCCACACTATTGAAGAGTGTACTAGCAGCTAAATTGGAAGTTAAGTTTTTTGGTAATATACTATGGATGATACTTTACGATCATTAGAATGTTATCGAAATTCATGAATTTGGATTGTATTACATGTGTACAACTACATAGCTCATCACTATATCATTAATTTTAATCCTTTATTATAACATACGGTTACATCAAATTCTATAATTATCTGTTGATTATTTTCATTCCAAATTTAAGTGGTCTCTAATAGTTCAAGGTTTAGAAGGATTTGTTAATAATTACTTCAATTAGGCAGCTTCAAGTTGTGCATTCTATTTACACAACATATAGTATACTTTATTTTAATTGTAATTTAACAGCTTTGCAATTTAGTAAAAACTGAATGCAAATCATTATATGGTTTGTAGATTTACAAAAGTTTAAAGGTTTCTTCCGGTAATCAATATTTAAATCAAAAACTATAAGTTCGAATAGTTGTCGAATAATTCACATCTGAACATTAAGATGGTATGAAAAAACTAATCACATTTAAATACTACACTCCTTTAGGTAGTAACACCAGTGAATAAATTTTCGACCTTCATGTTAATAGCCAGAAAAATAAAACTGCAATGAAGTATTACCGAGTGTTGTTCTAAGATTTTATTGTGGTACAGATAACAGAATATACGATCCTTGCAGAAATCAAGTTCATGTTCTCTAAGTAAGATAAAATAATCAAGCTAATCGGGATTGGTGAGGTTTGTTTATTTACGATATTGTTTTTAGATTTCACATTATTTAAATTAAGAAACATCGATTGTTGTATTCCAACTCAGTCCCCATTAGGGATTGTATAATAAACATAATTTGAAGGTTCTGAATTCGATAAAATCCAATGTCAGTTTGTTAAAAAAAAAGTTTCCTCTAAATTATATTGAATATCTGTAAAATACACCCATGTAATAAATTTGATTTTTTATTTTACAATTACTTAGCGAGCATTTCCGACTTTTTGTCGAAACAGAGCATACTACTCTACATTCGTTCATAAATGTTACACAAGGGATTTTTTCGCTAAACCAGCATTTACTAATATCAACAAACAGATACTATATATTAAATAGGATGAGAAATATGATTGTGTTTGAATTACGCCGCTCGAATTGTTCAATGTTCATTGGCCGATAACAGTTTCAACATTCAACTAACTTATTCTCCCGATTAACAAACGATGGTGGAATAGCTGTTTAAACCACATGTTTTTCACTATTTTGTGAGTTGGAGTTCATTTGAAACAAAGACTGATGTTTTTCAAAACCCACTTAAATAAGGTACAGATATTTATTATTTATAAGTTGTATTGCTATGATGGATATAAAATTAATTACAGCAAAGTCATCTTTTTATAATCTTACATCTATTTGATTAGTGTTTTTAAAGCTGCATAATTATCCAAACTTCTGATTGATTTAATTTCAAACAGAAACACAAAACTGTCGAAATAAATTGAGTAGATTGGAACTATACGGTAGAGCTATGGAACGCATTTTTCAACTTGAGATTAAAAGGTTTAATCACAATGCATGGTAGTTTACTTAGACTATTTCGTGTACTTTGTTTCAATATACAAACGAACCACTAGGATTTCAAACTGACAACTTATACACGAAATCCTAAATTACTGAATAGTAAGTGCTATAAAATATTTTTCAAGAAGCATTATATAGAATTTGTGGTTTTCGTATTCAGTTGCGTGACTGAACAAACGAAGTGACATCGGACACCAAAGTTTGAATAATTAGAAGAAAGAATGCATAACTTTTTCTCAGAAAGTTTGTCATTAGACGGATATATTTAGTGGATTTTCAAATACATGAACAAATTTTCTTGTCTTAAATGATTGTGATTGTAAATTAAGCATAAAACTAAGTGATTAATATTTTGAAAGGAAACCAAAAAATATATATATATATATTTATGACTTCAATGTAAATTATGAGACCAGCAATTTATTTCCTATGCATTAAGGTTAATTTTTATTTATTTTAATAAGCCCTGATTACATTAAAATTTTTGTAAATTAATCTATGAAATTTGAATCTATTCATCAGTTAGTGTTTATATTTCGTAATCGTGAAGAACAAATGAAATAGCACATATAAAATAATTGCCTGCTTTGTGTTCAGTATTCCAAATGAAACTGAAAAATATTCTACTATTTAGATTGAATACCTATCTACGTTTATTCGAAGAACTTTTCCAATCAACAGATCAAAAGTATGTGAATGTACTGTGGCTAATATGTTGTTATAAATGATAAAATCATGTGCACTAAGAACGATGAATTTCTAACCAAGAATGAGATATCTGAAGAACGACAGCAAAGATTTTTATAGAAAGGAGTTTTATCTTAAAAAATTTAACCATTTAGTTAGAAATACAGAGTGCATTGACCATTTTGTGGACTTGAGTAAACTAAACGTCTAAATAGTTTGTCTTGAACTCAATAATTTAGTTTCTGATAAATAAATGAAATGAAATATTACAGATCCTCTTATTTCTCACTAAGTCCATTTTCTGTCGATGAGCATTTATAACCTCGAGGTCTATTTTATTTTATGAGCTTCCTAACTAGTCCTTCAAGGAATATATTGTAATTGTATATCAAGAAATTTAAGCAACCAGATATGGCGTATATCATAAGACTAAGACATGAATTTTGTTAATATCGAAAACTTTTTGACTTATTACCAGCCATCAAGCCTACTTTTCAGACATCATTAAACCAAGTAACATTTATATTTTCACTTGATATGCATAATTAAAATTGAATTCCTAGACGGTAGAACTCATATAAAAATTGATGATGGAAAACTGCACTTACCGATTGTTGTGATTACCGTAATAGCATAAAGGACAGAACCAGCAAATGACCATTTTAAATCTTCCATTGAATCATTACCATTCCAACCGTCGGTTTCAATAAAGTCAACAATACGTTTAGTAAACTCCATAAGTGCTATTTGTACACGACCACGTAATAATAAAAGAAATTGAGCTTTTAATGAATATTCACCTCGCCTATTGTCTAATTCCAGTTCATTTATTGTATTCGTTACATTGTTATGATGTGAATTTTTTAGTGCATTCAATCTACCTAAGTTTGTAAATTCATTTGTCACCATTAAAGAATTTGAATTGTTATTTACAAAATTTGTAAAAGTACTGCTATTAACTAAGTGGGTAGTATTTAAATATTCCGTAAGATTTTCACTGTTAATCTCTCTGTAATCCAAATTATCTGTTATATTTTCCGCAGGATAGACTTTTGTCTTTGGTTTTTCACTTTCCAAAAAGTCAATTAAAAACTTTAAAAAGGCTACAGTATCATTACATGTTTGTTGTTGTTTTGTTAAATAATTATGTAATTCACCGAACATTAATTGTAGAAATTCATTTGAAGCGTCAATTCTGTATTCATAAGCCAATGTTTTAATTTCTTTCTCTTTTCCACGTTCAATACCACCGAACAGTAGACCACCTACAATTGTATAAGCAATCACTAAACCAGATAATCCAATATGTGAGAAAAGCATCGCTATGAATCTCTTAATTCCAGATTTAATCTCTTGCAATTTACGTCTACGACGTTCTTGTTTGCGTAAACGCATACGTTCTTCGCGTGATAGTATGGTAGTCGCTTTTGGACTGAATGGTTGAGGTGTCGCCATTGGAATAGGCGAGAATATATGAGGCGAATTGAAGTCTTGTTGAAAAATCATTTTTGTGTAGCGACTGTTTAGCTAATCAAGATTCCGAGGTTAAAAACTTTCGCATATCTGAAGAAATTCTCATGGAAGTAGGTTCTTAGGTTCACAGTTTTATTAAAATGTGAATAAGTGAATGATTTTTTTGAGGTTATATCTCATCAATAAGCGTTTCATTAATTGATTCAACAGATTTTGTATCAATGTATCGATAAAATTAAGACATCAGGTAATCCACATATTGGTCTAAATCATTCCTCACAAGTTTTTTTTACTATAAAATAGATATCTGACGAGACGATTGACATGCATTTGATAGAATGGTATATTAAATCATTTAAAAATTTCACAGTTTAAAGTATTTTATTATTTCCTGCCAATGAAAATTCGATTAATATTGAGGTTTTAAGCGACCAATCAAATTTTTTGTTATTTTCTTATTGTTGTATTATTTTTGAAAATAAAAACCAGCGTATTATTTTTGACTTGTAAGTTTCTGTTAACCCTGTTCATCTACAACATTTTTGTTCAATTTATTTTGGTTACTATTTTTGAATTACGAATGACTTCACTAATCTGTCTATCATCAACGAAAGTTAATTGATTGAGAAAAATAAAAATTTATTGCATTTGAATTTCAATAACTGATCATTTTTTATAATAATTTATTCAGCCTAATTGTGTTTAGAAATAGTCAAGTTTTTGTTTCAGCCATTCTCCTGGATTTTTACAAATCATGAAACAAAATTCTTCCATTGTATTGAAAATCTCTCTTTAATTGTGTTGTTTTGTTTAAAAACTATCGAAAAAATCTCATTTAAACAATTGGGAGGATTAACAACAGTGATAACCCATTCGAAGTTTAAGTCAGTCAGTCAGTTGCAACGTAGAACTTCGTACGTATGTACATAAGTTCATGTTGCCATACCACATTATTAGCACAGAGACGCAAATGTCAAATCAAATCCCATAGTGATAAAGATGGTACAGGTATTAATGTTAATAAAGAAGACTAGGGTTTAAGATATTATTCAAAAAATATAATTCAGTGAGATAAGGTTAGAAAGAAAAAGGTAGAGGTGCTGGCTAATCCAGAAGATTAGGATTTGAGAGAGCTCAAAGAGTGGATGCACCTGCGCCATTGCAAACGATTTTGAGCCATGTCGTTCAAGGTCTCTAACCATTGATGACTTTCGTCTCGCGGACCCCAACCAGGTAGTCTACATCTACCAAAATGACTCAGTCCACTTGTCAGAGACTTCATGGATTTGTGCCATGTTTTGGTCTGGCCGCCCCTAACTTTCTTCCAACCTACTCCTATGCCACAAAACATAGCTCGTCGAGGCAGTCGGTGGTTAGGCATACGTAACACATGTCACAACCACCTTAACTGATGAAGTTTCACCACTTCATCGATTGATCTGCGATCCTTACCTAGTACTCGTTTCCTAACGACAGCATTGCTTACTCGGCTGTCCCACGATATACGAGCAATGCTTCTTAAACATCTATGATCGAAAACTAGTAACCTACGAACATCTTCTACTCTTAACGGCCATGTTTCACAGCCATATAAGAGAACGGAACGAACTGCTGCGCAGTACACCCGCCCTTTGGTTAGCGAACGGATATCACGCCTACGCCATAAGTGACGCAGGTTGGCAAAAGCCAATCGAGCTTTCTGTATCCGAGCTGAGATTTCGTCAGTCACCAGACCGTCAGCACTGATGAGACTCCCCAGATAAGTGAAGTGATCTACACGCTCGACTACTTCACTCCCTATCACTAGCTGAGGTGCCAATGCAACCCAGTCTTGAAGCAACATTTTGCATTTCGAGGGGGAAAACCGCATCCCGAACATGCTCGCATTGTTGCTTATGGTAGTCAGAAGACTCTGCATTTTGTCAGCATCTTCACCGAATAGAACTATGTCATCGGCATATTCTAGATCATTAAGCGACTTTCCTGGTAGAAGGTCAACCCCTGAAAAATCTGACGAGCTTAATGTTAACTCTAACAGGATGTCTACGACAAGGTTGAACAAGAATGGAGAGAGTGGACAGCCCTGACGGACACCACTTGATGTAGAGAATTCAGATGACAGTTTGCCATATGCTCTCACCCGACCAGTGGTGTTCGAGTAGAGTGCTTGTATAAGGTTAATGTACTTCTTTGGTACACCTTTCAATGACAGACACTGCCACAGAACCTCACGATCCACTGAGTCGAATGCCGCCTTAAGGTCCAGGAACACGACTATTGTCGGACGCCTAAATGTGTGTCTGTGTTCCAGGACCTGTCGTAGTGTGAAGACGTGGTCTATACAACCACGTCCAGGTCGAAAACCAGACTGGTTTTCTCGAGTCTGCTCTTCGCGAGCTCTAGTTAGACGTCTAAGTATAATCGAGGCTAACAATTTAGAAACTATATTAGTTAAACTTATTCCCCTGTGATTGTCACAAGAGGACTTCTGTCCTTTCTTGTAGATTGGGACAATTAGCGACTGAGACCAGTCAGATGGGATTACGTCCATTTCCCAGATTCTACCTAGGATCTCAGTCAACCTAGCTGCTAAAACTGGACCACCATCCTTAAATATCTCAGGGGTCAGTCTATCAAGACCTGCAGCTCGTCCTCGTTTCAGATTTCCTAACGCTTTCTCAACGTCATTAAGACTAGGGGGACTTAGGTCGATTTGCCATTCAGGATGACTGAGGATCGTGGGCAACCGAAGAGTGGGTCGAGGCCAGTTGAACTGATACTTAAAGTGTTCTGCCCATCGGTCCAGCCTCCTAGATTGAGAATGGATAATAAGACCATACTTTTCCGAGATAGTCTCACTTACATTCGGGTTCCTAATACCGGTTTCTTTGATAAGGCGGAAAAGTTGTCTAGTGTTGCCTATCACCGCTGCCTTTTCCATCGCTTTTGCTTTCGCCACCCACCACTGTTCACGGTCGTTACGTAGGCTTTTTATAAGTCTGCGCCTAAGCTGACTACGCTCTTCATCATGTTCAGAGTCAGGTGGGATGCGTTTTCGAGCATCCATCAGTTCGGTGGATGCGACTGAAATCCACTGCTTCATCCTAGTATTGTGGTTTACCTTGCTAGCAGATACCATTGCTGTTTCCACAGCCTTCTTGATATGATTCCAACCTGCTTCAGGATGGGAATCACTTGCATGGCCGCCTAACTGTTTTTCTAGTTCCTCCTGAAATATTTTCTTAGCTTGATTATCATCAAGTAAAGCCCTAGGGGGCTTCCTTACGGTGTCTTTCCTACGTCCAGCAAGCCTCAAACAAATACGTGCTCGCACTAGGGCATGATCTGAATCTAAACATGTGCCCCAGAACGAGCGACAGTCCTCTATCGAACCCCTCCATCGTTGGCTGATGGCGATATGATCTAGTTGTGTCCAACGTTGAGACGACTTCGGGGGTCGCCAGGTCAAAAGGTGTTTTTCCTTATGCTTAAAATTAGTGTTTGCTAGAAATAGTTGGTTATCTGAGCACAGTTGCAACAGACGGTCGCCATAGTCTGTTCTTTGAGCCGCGAGACCGTAACATCCACCTAGGTGTCTTTCATTTTTACTTAGTCTACCTACTTGTGCATTGAAGTCACCAGTCAGAGTAAATGGAGCCGCTTCTTCATCTTGACATGGTGAGGTCAAATGAGTGATGCTACTGGGATCCTGTATGCGCGTTTCCGAGACGCAGCACACTTCGATGGCACGAGATTCTAAAGTTCTAGCTAATGATGCCTGTTGCCCTATTTGACACAATGTCCGTACATTGAATGCTCCAACATGTAGTTTGGAACGGGGTTTAAGGAGACCAGGAACGACGTTTCGCAAACTCGCATCGTTTGCATTAGCTGTGCACTGTAATAAATGAATGTGAGAAGAGTTAGTTGTGGAGATAAGAGAGGTATTAGGGAATGTAGGAAGGATTTGATTTTGAACAATTTTGTCTCGTGTGCTGTTGCGGGTATGAGGGCGGTTGTCACTTCCCGGCTGCCCACACCGTGGAAGGTTGTTTCTTGACGAACGTGAAAAGGAAGATGGATTAGTGTTGGTGCGTGACCGCAGAGTCCAAGGGACAACTGCTTGAGGCCGGTCACGCACGGCCTTTTTATGAGAGGTATTTAGAGGATTAGCTCCGTTCTTAAAGGCCCAGTGGGCACCCTTACCCAAGGAGACGGAAATCCGTGAGTTAGGGGAGGTGTGACATTTTTAGGGCCGACCTTTTCTAACCCTTCCTTCCTTGTGAGAAGGCAGCATCGCTGCAGATGCTGGTTGTCCGAGGGAAACACCTTACTGCTGTCACACCCCTCTGCAGTCAGCAGTACGACTTCGCCCTCAGACCTTGGGTAGCTGCTTTTAGTCTCATAGTTTTCTAATCGACCTGCCTGGCATGGTAGGACCTGCAGGAACATGTGTTCCAGCCAGTATAGCTCGGTTGGGTCATGACGATAGGCAAGCCCGACCACCACGTCAAGGTAGCAGCTTCGGTCGGGCGAAGTTTAAGTCGCCTAATAATAATTTTTTTAACATGGAATATTAATTAATATTAACTAAGATACTTCTAAAAATCATGGAGATCGAAATCAGTGTAGGAAGGGCAACAACAGCACTTATCAAACCAAGTATCATTAGGCTTTGTAGAGCACGTTTCACACATAGATGACATGAATATACTCCAACAATTCACGTTTTTTGCAAAATTTGATTCGCACCTGTATGTGACCCTTTAAATCAGTGATAAAGAAAGGCCCGTTTTCTACTCTGTAAATAGTCATAGACTATTGATAAACAAAATGTTTGTCATTAGTTCAATTGGAAAAAGTGGTCTACTGGCTCATGATCCATTACGCGACATTAAATCCAGTAACCGTCAAGAACTGATACACTTATTCAGTTTGTTCAGTGTCTTGGTGCTAAACCATGAACATTATGTCCATCATCAGATGATGATCGGCGGTCTATAGGTTAGGCGCTCGCACACCTTATTAAAAAT